ATCTTTGCTGTGACCACTTTCTTTGCTGTTCTTGCTATCTTTGCTGTTACCACTTTCTTTGCTGCTACTACTTTCTGTGTTGTCATTTGTGTACTCTACTACAAGACAATCACATTTACCATTGTGGAGCGCGTCATAATCGTCTTTAGTCACATCCAGTTGAATAGTCACTTCTTCGCCATCATCACAAGCAATTTGAATAAACAATACTGCAGCAATGAAGCATGAAATCGTTAATAGTCGATACATGATGTGCGAGAATATGGAAATTATTTATATGAATACAAAAAGATGATGTCTAAACTAAACTTACTGTGTTGTTGAGAAAGCCTGCATATTACTTGTGTATTTATACCTATGATTGCAGTTGCATATGAAGACTCAATGAAGCATGAAACCATTGTGTAAACATGATATTTTGTTAGCTGATCAATCTAATGAATAGTAATGAATGATTTTTGGGCTTGCTTTGACATGAGAGGATAACGAAAACAAAAAAATGAATGACGCCTTAGGTGACCTTTCAAACAATGTTTTTGATATTATAAAAGAATGATTATTGTTGTTATTATTATTGTTGTAAACATTAGTGTTATTGTGTGTTCATCTATGCTAAGATGCATTCTTTTGTAGACGAATATCTCTTATCATTTATAGTGACGAATTAAACATTCATACAACTCCATTTTTAATGCAATGTTCTAGCGTACATGATTGATATATTTGACATAATTTAATTCTCTCCTTTTATTTATTTTTAATTTAATTTTGATTTGATTTGACATTATAGTTTAGTTATTTAAATTTAAAATTTAGAAATTGTGACGTTTCGTATCTCGACAAGATACTTCATCAGACATAAAATTTTAAGACAAATGACATGTACATACAAACAAATTTTTTTTTCTCTTTTCTTTTAGTATTAGTCATACTTTTGATAGTGATACGGAAAACAAGACGGTAATAGTAATAGCTAGCTAAGGATTGAATCCTTTTCCGTATCACTATCACCGTCTTGTTTTTCGTTAAGTTTTTGTTCTTTTGTATTTGTTGTAATTTTCTCGAGCTGATTCGATCTTTCGTTGAATTTGATGTTTTGCTTTATGTAATATTGGTGTCCATGCTTCATTAATTTCATCATGTGTATTTACTGACTCACTTATTATTGAATATATTGCTTCTTTTGTGCGTCTTTTCCAGTAATCTTTTTCTTCTTCAATTATAAATGCATCATTTGTATCAAATAGACAATGAAATTTCTTTTCTTGAAAATGTTTAACCATTTCTGAATTACTATTATTTTCATTATCATTTATGGTTTTTGAATGTTGTTTCATACGATTATCTATACCTACTTTTGTTTGTCCAACATAGGTTTGTTTACATGAGCACGGGATTTGATATAGAACAGATTTTGATGGAACTTTTAATGATTGATTAAATTGTAATTGTAGTTTGTATGGATAGGAAAAGAACAGTTTGATTTTTAATTTCTTTTCAAGTCTTCTTTTAAGTACTTCCATACCAGGAGCATATGGTAATGTTAAACTACAAATAAATTCATTATTATTTTTATCTTTAATCTGACCGGTTGTATCATCGTTTTTATCATTGGATTTATTTTTGTTTGATTTAAATTCTTGACATGTTTGTTGTATTAATTTTTCAATTTCTTTTAACGGGTAATTTGATTTTAATAACATGTTTTTTAATTTATTCAAATCTTCTTGTTGATCTTTGTTGTCTTGAGTTGTTTCTAAAATCCTTGTAGCCATGTTTTTAACGATGTTATTTTTGATGGATTTTCCATGACTTGATTCCTAATTTAATAACCTATCTGCAGCTGTATTTTTTCGGAACCATCTAATTTTAAGTATTATTTCATTATTTATTAACTTTTTTGTTAACATTGTATCAAGATAATTTATTTGATCATTTTGTTCAAATTCTGAGGTAAATTTAATTGTTCCACGTATTTTATTTAAATAAAGTACATATTTTTCCAATTGTGGTTTATTCATTTTTGTAATGATTAAAATATCATCAACATATCTCCATATTTTGTTTGGAATGTTTACTTCATGTAAATGTTGTTTTTTATATTCATCCATGTATATGTCGGCTAATATTGGTGATAATGTATTTCCCATGGGTAAACCTGTTTTTTGTTTGTAAAATTTACCATTAAATTGAAAATAACTGTTCTTCAAGGCTAAATTTAGCAGTTCTTTAATATCAGTTTTGGTAAATGGTAAATTGTCCAATTTCTTAGATTCATCAAGCCGTTTTAATGTAATATCGATGGCTTTGCTGACTGGTATGTTTGTATATAAATCTTGAATATCAAGACTTGCTAAATGTTCGTCTTGATTTAATTTAGCATCTGCAATAATTTTGACAAAGTTTGATGTATTACATACCACGCCGCTTAATGTTGTTCTTAATTCTTTAATTATTCTGAATATGAATTGAGATATTGGTGATGTTATTGTATCTCTTGAACAAGTAACAATTCTCATCGGAGTAACAATTTTATGTAGTTTAGGTTGACCACGAATTTTAGGAAGATCATCGATTGATGTTAAATAATATTTAGTTTGATCTGTAATTTTGTTTTGATTTAACATCTTGGTAACCTGTTTATTGATTTCTGTTTTAATTATTGTTGTTGGATCTTTTTTCACTTGTTCATAAACGTTCAAATCATTTAATTTTTCTTCAATTTTATTAAAATAATAGTTTTTGTTCATAACAACTATTTTACCACCTTTATCAGCTTGAACTATAACAATATTTTCAATTGATTTTATTTCTTTTAATAATTTTGCTTCCTCTTTATTTATATTGAATTTAGTAGGTTTTCTCCATTTTTGAATAAATGTTGATATTTCTGATATAGCTGCACTTTTAGTTAATTTTGGTGTTGAAAATAATGATTTTTCACAATTTACCACAGTTGTTATTGTATTAATTGATGTTGGTGTTGGAACAAATTTTAATCCTTTTGATATTACTTTTAATTGTTCTTGACTTAGATGAATTTTTGATATATTAATAACATTTGATATATCATATGTTATTTTTGAATTCATCACTTTTGTTGTTTGTGGTTTTCTTGATTGTTGTTGCACTTGCTTTTCTTTTAATATTTTTATTTTCTTATCGTGCTTTTCTATGAATTTGTTTTCAAAATTTTTATTAAATTTATTGATCCATCTCAGATCATCTTGATGTTGTCGTGTTGGTTGTGATGTTTTGAAATAATGATTTAATATTGTATTTTGCGTGTTAATTTCAATATTAATAGATCTTAATTGATTTTATTTATATTGTAATGTGTTGTTTCTGATTTTGTACATGGTTTGTCTTAATAATTTTTCATTTTTATTCAAATTCGTGTTGTTCTTTAATTTGAACCCATTTGGTATTAAGTTATGTTGTTTGCATTGTACAAGAAATCTAATATTTTGTTTTTCTATTGTTCTTTTCTTGTATAATTTTTCCAAATGGTGTGTAATGATATAGATTCTCTCTCCGTAGAGGTTTTTGAATTCTTGTTTTGTTAAGAAGGTTGATATATTTGACATAATTTAATTCTCTCCTTTTATTTATTTTTAATTTAATTTTAATTTAAAATTTAAATCAATTTAATTTTGATTTGATTTGATATTATAGTTTATTTATTTAAATTTAAAATTTAGAAATTGTGACGTTTCGTATCTCGACAAGATACTTCATCAGACATAAAATTTTAAGACAAATGACATGTACATACAAACAAATTTTTTTTTCTCTTTTCTTTTAGTATTAGTCATACTTTTGATAGTGATACGGAAAAGGATTCAATCCTTAGCTAGCTATTACTATTACCGTCTTGTTTTCCATATCACTATCAAAAGTATGACTAATACTAAAAGAAAAGAGAAAAAAAATT